AGCATGGATATCGGTAGCCCAAATTTTGCAGGCCGACCATAGATATCAGATGTGCGTCGGTGCGGGCTCGAACCCCGGACCATGTGCATGGTTGGCGAGAGTCCTAACCACTGTGCCACCGACGCACAGCCAGCTTGTCTTATTCCCGTCTTCACTACGAAGGATTTCGTAAGTTTCCCGTTGTGGATTACTTGACATGCAACTAAGTTCTGGCCTGTCCTAACTAACCAACAGGAGAGAACTTATTGCTCAATAAATATGCGGAAAAAATGGAGATGGATTGGGCACACACATCACTGAGGAAACCGCCGAATGACACTGCGCTCTAGTCAGTCCATCACTCGAGTGGAACTCGAATTAGAAACGAGGAGTTGGGTGGCATGGAGGAGATGGTATGAAGACGGTGGGAGATTAGAGATTATGTGTAATTGCAGCCCAGTTAAACAGGACAACTAAAAATAGAACATAGTAGGGACGTGATGTGTTGTTGAAGGCTTATTTTCCACTTTGAACCCAAGGAGACAATAATAATAATAATACCACATTAAAATTCAGCTAGGTCAGTGGAAAATAAGGTGTTTTGATTGGTCGGCAATTAGCTTAATGATTAAACAATGAGGCGAAAAGTGGTCCAACAAGGTTACTTCATGTCCGCACTGTAAACCCGTTCCATATTTCTGGAATGAACACCTCTGTCTCAGAAGAGAAGAAGAGAAGAGAATATGTTCACCAAAACAAACTAGACAGTAAACTAATGCTTCCTGAAAAAACACTTGAAAGAAAAATGGTTACCCACAAAGTTTCATTAACAAATATAGCAAGAATGAACTCAAGAAGGCTGATATAGCTACAGTCAGTAAGCAGGCCATTTTTTTCATCAAACTCGACTACAAGGGTGACAACATTATGCGAATGGTAAATAAAAGATTAAGCGCAACCCTGTCTAGGACGTTTCCTACAGCATTATTAGTCTCTCTGTCACGAACAACCTCCTCACTGGTGTAGTTACAGATTGACAGGTACCCCTCACATGTTACCTCCAACTGTGTATACCAATTCACATGTATCTGTGGGAGCAGTTACATTGGAAGAACAGAGAGGAGAGCCTACGTCAGATTCTGCGAACATGTACCAAAGAGCCTCCGCTTAAAGGGCTCGAATTGTCTAAGCTCTTCAAACACCAAACACCTGGTTGACACAGGACACCGAGTAGATGTGCTGGAATCATTCAAAATAATTAACACACAAAGTACCTCAAGTCTTCTCAGGTTTGCTGAAGTTATAACAATAAAACGATTGAAGTCTGACTTATGTGTCCATAAAGAATCCGTTGTTGAACTTCAGTTACCCTGGTGACTAACTCTCTTTGTTTTCTAACTTTGTTAGCTTATCTTTTCACTCCACCTCCTCCTTTTATTTTTCACTTGACTCTCTTAAGAGATCATTTTTCTTGATCTTCTGAGTTCCGCTTACTGTATTACATCATCAACTTCTCATCTGAACTCATGTGCATGGAAATTTTGATTTTCCTTTATCTAATTACGTAACTGTTATGTTGCTGCTGCTGAGTGGTTAATAGTAGTTTTCCCCGTCGCCAAATTGTTATGTACTCGTCGCTAAATTATTGTTATGGACTGGTCGAGAATTTAATAGTCCTGACGCAAGAAGGCGGAAATCAGAAAACCACTAGGTTTGCGATGATACTTCTATTTCCAAACACGAGGAGTATGCAAAAGTGGTATCACACCAAAGTAAGTAAGTAAGTCACACAAATTGTGAGAGCCAAATATATATGAATGTTAAGACAAGGGTGTGAACAATCATTAGACAGTCTTAACATGAATGGCTAATTATAATGAAGCATCGATCCATATATACATAGCGAAATATAGCAGACATGTCAACAACCACCATATATGGATATATGTCACCAAGCAACGGACTGTCAACAAACACTCATATTATATATAATATATAATATAAAGAGAATACACATTATTAAAGGAGACAAGTCCATACAAGTGAAGTGGTCACAGACTAACCGAGCAAACAGAAAGAGAGACCAACATGCACACACACATAAATATATAAATGGATACATATCAGTAACTATTACTAATTTTCTTTTTTACCACCCAAAATCACAACTGTTAAAAAATTTTTTTTCAAGAAACTTCTCTCTAACAAGATATATATATATATATATATGTATATTGTCGTAACATTTAAAACACCTTGTAATTCAGAACGCCGTATTTCACTATGACGCTCTGACAATATGCTTGGTAATGGAGAAACGTTTGTTAAAATTGTACACTTTTTCGAAATTTTATTAAAGAATTCAGGTTGTACGCAGCTACTTACTGATGAGAACCGACGAAATAAAATGGATCCGGATTATTCTGCGCGCCAATGTTTCTTCTTTCTTTGATCAAATTTCTAAGAAGGAATCATTGTATGAACTTCTGTCTGTGTAGCTCCTTTGACTTCAGATGTCGATTTCAATTTTCCGCCACTTTCTATCAATCTTCATCTATATACTACTTATAAATCTTGTCAGTAGCACAAGCCAGACGACTAATACTATTACTTCTGACGCTGATAACAATAATAAAATTACTTTAGTTATAATAATAATAATAATCATATCTTTATTCTGGACAGTGTTTATAAAGTGTACAGAATTTTCAGAGGAGTTTATTGAATCATATTTTCCCTTTGTACAATCAGTACCTTCAAGTAAAATCTTAAAATTGACAGTATATCCTTCCTGTGACACAATGGCCTCTGAGCTGAATCACAAACCATTCCATTATGTGATAGATCTGTTTTGTTTCTTTCAAGAAATCTATTCATGATATCGATCTGGTGATAAGCCAATTGTAAGAAGTACATTTTTGAGACCCGAGGACATAACTCAAGTTCAGTAGAAATTCGTGAAACAGAAGCTTGCAAAAACATTTCAAATACACACAAGAGTAGATAATGTTACCATTGTGGTGTCTGTGACACAGCGGTTAAGACGGTCGTCGACGATGCACATGGTCCAAGTTCAATCCTTGGCCGCAAACGCACTCATACACCTCGCTAAGCCAGCCAGTAATAAGACTGGTAGAGAGGACTGGATGGGCATGAGGTTAGTAACCGCATCCTGTAAAAATAATCACCACTGCTACAGAAACTTCAAGTCTCTTGCTTGAAGGTGCCCTATGTTCTACAGGGAACATAGAGGAACTAAAAAAATACTATTAGAGGTCATATCTTAATCTATTAAAACAAACCGAACGACTGAAAATATTTGCAATAGAGAGATGGAGGTTTTTGTTTGCCCAAGTTTTAAGCAGGTCACCACTAGCATAGCAATGGTGTTTAGTTGTATTGTTTTCTTGCCTCACTCCAGTCAACCTTACTTCTTTACTGGGTATAGTGCTAGCAGCTAAAATCTGGGTCAGGCGGAATGCGTTGGCGGCTGGGGACCAACGCCTTTCATTCAATACATTTTGATGTGGTTGTGCTGTCTGAACTGGACAGTTAATTTGCGAAGATTTCATCGCCCTAATAGGCGACATCTTCAGCCCATACTTCAGTTCGTTGAAGTGAGCTTTTAGAATTCTCCACGAGTTTATTAATCATCTCTCCTGGTGGGTGACCTTGGACGTGATTAGATGTTTTTGTGTATTTTCACACCTTCTAGACTACTTGTATTGGAGCTGATTGTTTCTTTGACTTGAGCATTGACCCTTTGTGTATGAGGTTTCTTTCTTATCGGTTGATAAATTTTTTAATAAACAACGTCTTCAACGACATCAAATTCACAAGAGAAGAGGAATCTGAGAACAAAATACCATTTTTGGACGTCTTAGTCAAGCAAACAACCACAGGGGAATTAGAAACTCAAGTTTACAGAAAATCAACTCACACAGACGAAATCCTGAATTACAACAACAACAATCCAATAACACACATAACGAATTGCATACAAACACTATTCAAGAGGGCCAGCCAGGACTCATTGCAGCACTCCAACCTTAAGGAAAATTCAAGAAAGATATCCCATGGACGTCTTCCAAAGGAATGGATATCCACGTAACTTCATCAAAAGGCATCTACCCCCAAGCCAACCTATCAAATTAAAGGCCTCCAAGGAAAGCACAAAGAAAATCTCCTTACCATATATAAAGGATATTTCAGAAATCACAACAAGACTCCTCAAATCTTTAGGAATTGACGTCTTATACAAACCAACAAAGTCACTTCACTCAATTCTATGTCAACCAAAAGACTCAACAGCGAAAGAAGATAAAACCAACATTATCAACGAAATAAATTGTAACAACTGCGAAAAACCCTATATTGGCCAAAGTGGACGTCTCCTTCGTCTTTGTATCCACGAACATAAGCTAGCCGTCAAAAGACATTATATCTACTCCCTCACTCGTATCACTGCATACAGACAACCATGGACATCAGTTCGACTGGGACAACCAGCGTTCAAATATTAGACAGAGGAAACACCAAGAATGATAGAGAATGTTTATAAGCTTGGCATTCCAGTAAGTCGTCAATCAATAGAAACATCGAGATAGACAAAATTTATCAACCGATAAGAAAGAAACCTCACACACGGGGTCAAAGTTTAAGTCAAAGAAACAATCAGTTCCAATGCAAGTAACCTAGAATGTGTGAAAACACACAAAAACAACCATTCACGGTGTTCAAAGTCACCAACCAGGAGAGGTGACTCATAAACTCGTGGAGAAATGTAAAAGCTCACTTCTGTTCAAATTGAAGTATGGGCTGAAGATGTTGCCTAGTAGGGCGGAGATGAAAGCTTCGCAAATTAGCTATCCAGCCAGTTCAGAGAACATAATCACATCAAAAACATCTACCTGAGCTACGAATCTTTGCTTTCTTATTGAATACATTATATTGCATATGATTCCATAGCTTTCTACTTATCTTTCTCTATGTGTGGGCCTGTGTATCTCTTTCTCGTGCAGAAGTTGACGATGTATGCTCATTCACTGGTGCTATACATTCGCATTCACATACAATGGAATGTACGAAAAAGAAGAGTTTGATTGATATGAGGTAAGGTCAATGAATCAATGAATGAATGAATTGATTAATTAATTCACTAGTAAGAGATATTTTCATTTCATCTATTAAGAAAAGCACATATATACAGTTAGATGATTTCATCTTGAGGTGAGGTCAGTTAGAGAAAAAATGTGCCACACGTTGAGACTATTGACCTCATATGTTAAGAAGCTGAAGACATACCTATTCCGACAACGGAATTGAGGAAGTGTGTTACTTTTATGTACTAAAAATGTCCAGTTCCAATTTGGCGGGCGTCTATTCCGTCGAGTTGATGGTGTCGCAATGGGAAGCCCTTTAGGATCACTTTTCACAGACGGATTCTTGTCAGGCCTAGTAGCCGGTACCTTGCAGCATCTTGCAGTAACATATATAAGAAACTGATGTATACCTAGGATATGTTGATGACATTTTTATTTGTCTGTGCAAGCAAATCAAAAGCTGAAGACCTCCGGTTGATAAAATTCAACTCATGCCATCCGAATCTCAATTTCACAGTAGAACACGAGGAAAACGACACTATTAAATTCCTAGACGTTTTTCAAGCGAAAATGAATGATGGCACATTCGAAAGGTCTATATTTAGAAAGTCTTCATGGACAAAACAGCACATGCGTTTATATAGCTTTTTTCCTATCCAGTATAAAAAGATTTATGTTTAATGTCACAAGAACTCGAAGACTTGCAGGCAAGCGGAAACCAACAAACTGGCAGAAGAGCCAGGCGGCGAAGACAGGACTCCAGATGGACATAGAGAAGACGGATGGGATGAAAATAACCACGAACAGCAACAGCAACAGCAACAACAACAACCAGCACCAATCACCATCAATGGGAGATATTTAAAATTGGTTACCTCCTTCACACATCCGGCTACGCAGCATCCATTCAACCACAGGGACTCGGAATTGATGAAGATATCAAAGCTAGTGAGAATCGGAAAGGCAAAATACTCCTTCATCAACCTGAAACCACTTTGGAAACCTTCTGTGCTGACTCAGCCGGCATCAAGATCAAGATTCGAATTTTCAACACAAATGTGAAATTAGTTAGTCCTTTTGTATGGGTCAGAAAATTGCACTGCGTGTCACGGAAATCATTTCCAACAATGTAATGCAGAATCTTAACAACAGCTCTGCTTCCTCGCTGGCTCCAAATTGAAGATCAAATGGCTGGTCGTCTAGAAACTTTTAGCAACAAAAACTCTGCTAAAACCTAAAGTTAGTAAAAGCCACTGGATCTCTACCGCCTCATCCGAACTGATTGATGCAAGAGGACTGGTTCCAGTGAGCACCAATTATGATGAGGAGCGAAAGGTATTACAACGACAACTAACAAAAAGTCTTCGCAATGACCGTGAACAGTGGTGGGCGACAGAAGTGAAAGAGATGGAAAAGGCATCGGCGATTGGCAACACTAGAGAACTATTTAGGCTTATCAGGGAAACAGATGGGAAAATGCAAATGATAATAGAAAGAATCTCGGAGAAAAATGGCACTATAATTAGCTCCCAGGATAGGCGACTAGAACGCTGGAAACAGCACTATGAGGAGCAGTTTAATTGGCCCACAGCCAAAGCTTAACCTGACGAACATCCAACACCTCCCTGAATTAGATATAGACACAGGTCCTCCCTCCCTAACTGAGGTTACTAAGGCTGTCACTAATCTGAAACAAGGCGGCGGCGGGACGTGATGGATTGACTCCAGAGATATTTAAGCACGGTGGAGACAGTTTACTGTCTGCATTAACTGAGGTTCTAGGCAACGTCTGGGAAGCAGAGGAAGTCCCATCTGGTTGGTGTAAGTCACTGATCATTCAAAATACAAGAAGGGAGACAAGTCTTCCCGTGGTAATCACAGAGGGATTAGCTTGACTAATATAGTATCTAAAGTCATAGGCTCAATAATCATGCGTAGACAACGTGGTGCTCGGAAGGCACAAACACGAGAGTGCCAGGCAGGCTTTAGACCAGGAAGAGGGTGTATTGATCATATCTTCACCCTCCGACAGATTCTAGAACATAGGAATTCCTACCGGCGTCCAACAGTCATTATATTTCTTGACCTAAAGGTGGCATTCGATTCTGTCGACTGAGAGGTTCTCTGGCAATGCTTGGCTGTAAAGGGAATTCCGAGAAAATACATTGCACTGATTAAGGCACTCTACTCGTACTCATGCAGCCAGGTGAGGGCTTACGGCGAGCTGTCATCTGAACTGATGACGACCAGTGGTGTCCGTCAAGGATGCCCATTATCTCCTTTTCTATTCAACTTCATCATAGATGTGTTAATGGACTTAACCCTAGGTGACTTCAGCGACTCAGGGATTGACTTGCTACCAGGGAATAATCTCGTTGACTTAGAATATGCAGACGATATAGTCCTTCTAGACGAGCTGCAATCTACGAATGTTTGGCATGTGATTCGCTCCCGCCAAATGCACGATGTTGATACAGGACTAAAAGTTCATGTTGATTGACCCGGTCGTCAGTTGCATTACAACATGATAACTGTTATTGATGTAAGTATGAAACTTGGGCACTGTGGTTGTAGAGTATAACTCGATTATGGATAAGATTTTGTTTTGATAAAGTCTCACCACATTTCGAGCACAAACAATTGCCACCCATAATCGTATCAAGTCACCCACACAACTTTTTTCCTTCATTTATATACGTGAGTGGAATTGATGATTAGACATTTGAATAAAAATCAATATGGGATAATGTACATTCAGAAATGATAATAATATGAGTGTTATTGATCAATTACAATCAGATGGGAAATAAGATGAGTGTTTTTATAGTCATAATAAGTAACTTGTTAGAAGATTGTGATGTACGTGAACTGAAATAGAATTTTAAGATTATTTATGATCCTCCTCTAATTTGACTGACTGGTGGTAATAATATCTTCCATACACATCTCTGGTATTTGCATTGAATCATTTCTGTTACACGTGTTGGGTGTAGACTCAATGAACCATTATTCAGTAATCAACCTCTCTCTCCACCTACCTAGATTACTTTTTAGAATTTTAACCCTATCCCACCCTATTGTGCGGTTGAGTGTTAATACATTCGGTGCAATCGCTGAGCTTGTTACTAAATTAATTATCTCCACGGGTGGGGGCAATCATTCTTACCTTAGCTAAATTCTTGTGTTCTGATAACCTCACTACTCTTGATCTACTAATTTGACCTATACAGTCGATCTAACTTACAGTCATTGCAAGGTATTGAGTAAATTATATTATTTTCAGGACTTCATCATGAGCTAACATTAGTTAAAGGACCATTGGAAAATCTGGGAGTACTGGACAGCTGTTTCGTCCTAGCTTGGGACTCTTCATCAGTACGCACCCACCGGGATTCGAACCCAGGGCCTTCCGGTTACAAGGTGAGCTCGTATACCATTAAGCCACTGGGACCCGTTCCAATGGTCCTTGAATTCGTACTTCTGCCAATTCTTTTGTTTAAATGGGTCCACCGGGTCTTTTAGTCTACAGAGCTTGTCCTACCTGAGTGAGTTTGTGGGTTTGAATGCCACCACCCTAATTCCTGCTTTATTAAGAATCTTACGTAGGGAGGGTCTCAGATGTCCCCTCCTTAAATGGTATAACAGTGGATGACTTATATTCTCTCTTATTTATGTTATCATTTCTAGTTTCGTAATTATTTTTATTCTATTTTTGGCCTTTAATGATCTACTAAAGAATTTTATTGGATAGTTATTCAACACCAATGCTTCTTCTATCTGTGTTATTTCATCATTTAGGTCTTTTCTTGTGCTACTTAGTGCTACTTATCGGTTTGTTAGGCATTTAACTAAGCCTGCCTTAACAGTTAACGGATGAGATGAAATAAGGTCTAAATATAATTTGAAGTGACTAGCTATTCTAGGTACTTCATCTTTCAGTCGAGGTAGCACCAGCGGTCGTGTAGAGAATAATACTTGTAGTTCGCCAGCATTAAAAGTTCTTTGAACTGATTGTGTTAATTTCTTCGTAATTATCTCACCTGGTATATCGCCCTTGAATTGTAGTCGTATATAAAGTGGCTTCTTGTTCACAGATAGTGAGTAGTCCTTTTCCGCCGCTTTCTTTGTCATGTGTTTCTTGATAAATTTGTCGAGATAGCCACTTTCGATCAAAGTATCATATACAATGCCTAATTCATCTTTAGTTACTTCATCTGAGCATGCAGCTCTAACTCCGTGGCTGAAGGTCTTCACTAAGTTTCTTTTGTACTTGATAGGAACGGATCTGTGAAAATGTATATATTGTCCTGTCCAATTGCTTTTCCAATGCTAATTTCCTTTTATGCTGTCATCTGGTTTTCTTGTAAGTAGAACATTCAGGAAGGCAATTCTCTCTTGGGATTCCTCTTCACATGCGAATTTCATAGCTGCATGTACTTCATTGAATTCAGTAATTATTGTACTCCTCTCCGAATCGTTGTCACAAAGAATGTATCATCTATATATCAGCAATCAAATGAGAGCTTACTGATAAGGTTGTTCAGAGGTCCATTTTCTAGCTTACTTAGAAAGAAATCAGCCAAAATGAGACCCAATGGGGAGCCCATCGCCACCCCGTCCACTTGTCTGTAAAACTTGCCGTCAAATTTGAAATTTACATTCATGGTACATCTTAATATCTATTCTTTTAGGATTTCAGTCTAAATATCCAATATTAGAATGCGTTGGATTTTTATAAACACTAGTGTGTAGTTTACCCTCTTCCTATATTCGTTTTATTTTACAATCTAACATCACAGCTAATTCTCCTTGTTTATTTTCGAATTCAAATTTGAATTTTATTCCCTCTACTAGTGAGTTTATAAGTGTCAAGAAGCTAACTGCTACCATTATCATTATTATTAATTTTTCCTTACAGGAGTTTGCTTGAACCTGATGCTAAAAGTGATTGTACAATGATACAAATTGATAATGATCCTGATATCCAATATAAAGTTGATCCAATTTATATTCAAATGAAACCAGTCATGAAGACATGCAAAGAAAAACATACCAAGGCAATGACAACAGATCAAATCTATACAGAACGGATTACTTATTCACCAAGATTTTGTCCCTTGGGCACTTATCATACTGATGACAATAAACGTGAAGTATGCTATTATTATTGTTATTATTATTATTATTACCATTATAGTCTAATTGATTGTTCTTACTTATTTATGTAAAACAAAAAAGAGTTCAGCGTAGAGTAACACCTCTTCTCAGCAATATCATTCTTAAGATGTACAATAGCATATATACAGTAATTTTTCCCTGCAACAAAATCGATATTTTCTATATTTGGTTTGTAAGGATTAGATTTGTTTTTTTTACGAGTTTGACGATGGATTGATATCACAGTTACAGAACCATTGAAAACCAGCCACAGGGAGTACTGGATAAATGTTTCATCAGCTTAGTTTGGGAGTCATTTGCAGTACTCACTCACTGCCAAGGTTCGAACACAGTGTAACCGGAAGGCCAGTGTTTGACTGAAAGCTAATCTTTCATCTCTTTGTGGCTGTTTCTTGAATGTCGGATCATCTATATGCTAACTTTGTCCACCTACGCAAAGTTTGCTGTCAGTCTTTGTTCTTGTTTTCACTTGACTAACATTTGAGATATCAACAAACACTGACGTAAATTACTGTCTACCAATTTGGCTAACAGCCAGCTCTCACCACATACTAACTGTCTTAAAAAAATGGATATCCCCACAGTTTCATCAAAAAGTGTTTGAAATCGAGTAACAACACCAAGAAGAAATCATCATCAACGATTACAGAACATCAAAACCCACTCTCCAACTCGTTACTACCCCTTATATGGAAGATCACAGCAGCCTGGTAACTAGATAGAGGTTGATTTCTGTGATTAAAAATACTTTTCATGCACCGAAGATCAGAAAAATCGAGAATATGAAGTCCATAGATGCATTTAAGCCCTTACAACATGCGAAAAATGATGTCACATCCCACTGCATTCACCAAGTTAAATGTAAGTGTGGACGCATACATAGGGAGGACTCATCGATCTCTACAAGTAAGGGCTGGCTTCAGAGCATATTTCTAAATGGCTCCAGAAGCAAATAGGATCCCCAGAAACTTTCATTGGTGAGAACAGGTGACCTAGCTCCTGTATTGCGAAACATAATATAGAGATAGGACATATAATTGACGTTTATACATCTTTTAAACGTACCTAGAAAACGTGTTTGGGGCGTATCCTAAAGTTTTTGGAAGCCCTATCTGGCAATTAGAAAGATTAGATCACCTTTATGCGTTCGAAGCAACAATTCTTCATCACATTAAACCATCTTCTTTGGTAAATTTTGTTTTGATACCAGCCAGTGTAGATGTAATATTACCTCTCTTATTTGGTTTAATGGTCTTCATTGTTATTTTGACCCCGAATATGTCCTTCTAACTTGACCTAAGTAGTCTATTTTCTCACCTCTTAACTGTTTATTAATCTCATATTTATTCCTATGAGAAGTCCGTGGAGTGTGATCAGATTGTGTGAAATGTGTTTCGCGCGCAAATACAACATTACACGATTCAGACAAATCATGTCTTCTTATTGCTTTGTCAAAATTAATAAAGCGAACTAACTGTTCTAAATTCTGTAATCAATTGGGACAAATAGATTAGATTTTGCTTCACCAAGGTAAATAAAGTATAATAAGTGAATCTTTCTGAACACATATCTATCAACCTTTGATTGTCCTGAAGAGTTTGTTGTTCGACAAACCGGAACTGATGTGGCTTCAGGATATGTTGAGGTTAGAGAGGTTTTCACTCTTCTGTTGGTTAATTCCTGCAATAATATCCCCTTTAAAATCCAACTGAATGAAGACAGATTTCATACTCACTGTGGTTAATTTCATCTTTTGTTTTGTTTAAATTCCGCTTATTTTTCGAGTGATAGGTTGTTGGTTGATTCGCTATCTGCCAGAGTTCCTTGTTGCTGAACATGCTTTTTGTCCAACTATTCTTCATTGTTGAGACTGTAGCCCGCTGGAAATGATTTGTTGGTTGGAGGATTCCATCATGAGCTGACCTCAATTAGAGAAGCATTAGAGAACCTAGGAGTGCTCGACACCCAGTTGTTTCATCCGCCTAGTTTGGGACTCTTCATTAGTACGCACCCACCGACAAGATTCAAACCTAGGATCTTCTGGTTACAAGCTTAGTGACCTTGTAGACCATTAGGCCACTGGTACCCGATCCAATGGCCCATGAATTCTAACTTATGCCAATTCATGACATAGCACGACCACTTCGCAATGTCTTCTTCTGCGATGAGTTACTGCTTCACCTTCAACCTGTTGTACCCTACTGGTCACGGCTTCTCACTAGAACCCCAGGTTAACTACCTAAATAGGGTCAGTTACTAATGAGCATCAGATAAATTTTCAAGCGTTGGTTTTGTGGGGATCTTTTGTTTGATTGTTTGGAGGATTTCATCATAATGTCAGCTCATCATGATGATGATTGACCAAACTCTCTCATCTCTTCCTCACACGATCTCCACCATATCATCTTAGTGCCGACAACCCATTCTTCGCTTCCCATTTAGATTTTACTCGAGTGATGGACTGGCGTGCGCTGTCATTCAGCGGCCTCTTCAATGTATCCCCTATCCATCTCCACCTTCTCCCACATATTTGTTGAGAGATAGGCTCTTGCTCGTTGGTTTATTCCCAGTCAGAGTTTCTTCTCACTTATTCTCTCTGGTCATTCGATCTTTAGTATGAAGCGAAGGCAGCTGTGGATGAAAGTCTGCAACAGTCTGTTGGAAATCCTTTTTTGTTATACGCAGTGCAATTTTCTGGCCCTTATAGAAGAATCGACTTGATACTGGTGTTGAAAATCCGAAATCCTGTTCATTACGTTGAGTGTAGAAGATTTCCAAACTGGTTGATAGGTTGATGAAAGCATATCTTGCCTTTCTGATTCTACCTGGTTCTGAAATCTTCATCCTTTCCACTTGCAGTTGAAACGATGCTTTCTGGTTAGATAAGTGAAGAAGGCAACATCTCCCGTTGATGGTGCTTGGTGCTGGTTGCTGTTGTTGTTTGGTGTTGTTGCTACTGCTTTTGGTAGGTTATCTTCATCATGTTCATCTTCTCTATTTTTACCTGGAGTCCTGTTTTCGCTGCCTAGCTCTTCTGTCCGTTTTGGTTGGTTTTTGCCTACCGTCTAAATCTTCTAGTTTGTGTGACAGTACGTACATACATACATATCGTCTGCGAAATCCAGATGTTCTAGAGTCTTCTTGTCTATCGTCCACCGTATTCCTGACTTTCCGTCCCCAACACTCTGACGCATAATCCAGTCCACCACAATTAGCAACATCATTGATGATAATAGGCATCCAGATGGGTTTTACTACTGTATTCACTTCAAATGACCCACTGATTTTTACGTTGTGGGTAACAATGAATTTATTGTTAAAAATAGATGCGAGTAGGTACAATAAAGATTAAAACGAAGGTAAAACAAGAGACTGAACAAAATTTCCATCAGTAAAATTCGAGATGTTGACTTTTTTCCTGTGTTGGATTTGCCTGATGAATGTACCTGCGTTCTCACCGAGTGATGGTATTCTCTGTACACGTCATTTCAAACGTCAAGTCATTGTTCACTAGGCATGAATCAGTTATTGATTGATTTTAAATTAATTCCTGTTGACCCATTCTATTGCTCTGAAATACTGGGTATCTCTGTTTACTTGCTGGCTACTAGTACAAACAAGTCGATAATGTCTAGGGATTAATGTGACGTGATTTTGTTTGATGGTGATTAATAGTGGAGTCTAGAGTGTTATGGAGATGTTCTATGAAACCGTAGAAGTACTGCATACATTAGAATAATGAAAAACAATTGATTTTCTAGTATTTTGAATATCGATTTGTCTAAAGTGTCTGTTCTTTTTTAATAAATCTGGACCTGGACTAGCCAGTTCTAATTGTATCTATCAATTCAACTGCACTTGTGGTGAAGCCATTTATATTGGCCATTGCTCTAGGAACTTCATTTTTCGTACTCTCTCAGGAACATCTACCAGCGTGGCTAAGTAAGCGAGTAGTACAAGCCATCAACAGTTCGATATTAAACCACCTGTTCAAAACCGGTCACAAAGCCAGAGTTGAAGAATCCTTTTCTATCATCTACTGGGTACCAAATAAATTGTGAAAAACATCGAAGTTATCGCATACTCTGAATGGCAGATGATGTCACCATTCGCGTGCAACAGTAGGTTCTTTGTGCACGGAAGAAGCAAGCACAGTCACTACTACTAGCCTGGCCAGCCTTCAGTGGAGATTATACATTCATAAAATTTATAATTACTTTTCCCTAATTTGACTGTCTGAAATTCAAGACAGGACACTAGTAACTAGTGCGATGTGTCTAGTCGTTTCTTCGGTGCAGACTGAATTCTATCAGTCTGGTTTGCAATGTGGCCACCATGCCACTAGGTAGCTCACCGTCACGGTGCACGTTGATTTGATGACATTAGATAGTTGGAGGTAATCGGAAGGAAGCCTTGGACCTAGGTTTCGTGCTAGTTGGCACTCACCAGTCAGCAAAGCATATCGGTAATTAAGAAGGAACTCATATCCCTTCTGATATTTGAACCTGCAGCGTCACACAGTGAGTATTTCATTCAGAGACGTTACCATTGTGCTATTTGGGCTCGCGATTGACCTCCTGCAGGACTGTAGTGGATACTTTGACTGGATTGTTATGTTGATGCTATTGAACTGTAATCCACTGATATTATTATTATTATTGATTCGATATTATTTCAACAGCATCAATGTTGTTCATCACACTAATTCATTGATTCACTATTGTGGATAGATGCATATAACACTGTAGAACCTGACGAAGAAGAGCAGGTTATCGAATATGTGAATATATTCTTTCTTCAGTAATCAATCTTTTCAAAAAATTGCATATGTATTGATTTATTGATTTTTTAATATCTATTTTAGTGTATTCCATGTCCACCAGATACCTATGCAGATATTCAAACGAGTAATCATGAATGTGAACCATGTCCAATGAATCGACCAAGTACATTTTCAATTGAAGGCTCTGTATCATCACAATGTTCCAATGAATTAATTGGGAAATTACAAAGGGTAAATATATTTAGCTCCCATTTTGTTTTTGCTGTCATTTCTTATATGTTTAATTGAATTTTAGATATTCCCATCGATTGATTGGACCAAAGTGCTCAGTCTCAGGTTGACATGTCTGTCGGCTTCTTGTGCAGATGCTTCGATGATGCCTGGGCATTTAATTAGAATTTAATTGATGGATGGGCACTGGGTTCGAGCCTCGGTGGAAACACAGCCATCACTCACTGAGGAATGCAGGTACATCCAGTTGGAGGATGAGTCCCAAATAGGACAAAATGCGCGTTATCCTGGATTCTATCACTTCTAGTCACCATTTGCCAATTAAATTTCTCATATGTCATTTTAAAAGCGTCCATGCAAAAACGAATTCAACTTTGGTCGAAGGATAAATTGGTGGAGATCATGTGAGGAAGAGGAGACGGAAGCTTATGGGGAATCGTAGAGGCAGCTACAAAGTGGAATGGCGATGTGTTGCTGAAGTCCTCTGTTTCACTTGGAACCTGAGGGAATAAAATCATTAATAATGATCATAAAAGTTTCATAAAATTAAGACGACAGTTTCAGATTTGTACTGTGGTTGTTAAATTGTCCGGAAACAAACAAACTCTTACATTAGCTTAATATATGTGTAAAACTTGGGGACTGAGGCAGTCATTAATTCCATATTAGTTTGCTTATTAGATGTATCACACAGTGAAACAGTATTGCTATTTACTGGATGACACAGTTTCGAACACAATTTATTCCTGTTCATAATCATATCAACTGTAATCACATGACTTCGAAACATGAGTTTTATAGTTCTCATTGTTCTGTCCGATTTTTCGTCGTTGAAGTAGTAGAATTTTCCAGATGTCCACCTGGACAGTTGTTGAATCATTCCTTTCGTTCGTGTTGGTTTGTAGTTGATTCGACAAAAAAAGCTTCTGTTATCAATCTCTCCCTCCAGCCTACTGTGACATTAGATTTTAAAATTGTCATCCCATCCCATCCCATCGTATTGTATGGTTGTGTGTAGCTGCATGTGGTGAGTATTATAGCTGAACTATTCTCTAGATTTCTTATCTTATTCGGGTCAAATAATCTAGATTTTGCCAGGTTTTTATGGTCCGCTAGTCTTACTGCACCTGTTCTACTAGTTTGACCTATGCATTTGACCTGACAATCATTGCAGGTAGGGTATTGAACAAACTAATTTTTTTTCTTTTAATGGCTCCACAGGATCCACCATTTAACCGATAAAGCTTGTTTTTAATTGAGTTTGTAGGTGGTTTGAATGCCAGCCACTTTTATTCCTGCCTTGATAAGAATTGTGCGTAAGGTAATTTCCGAGGTTCCTTCCCTGTATGAAATTACTTCTGATGTTTTAGATTCCTTATTGTTGATGTTGTCTTGTGCACATTTGACTTGCATGTCGTCATTACTATTATTATTATTATCACTAATGTTAGATGGTGACAGTTTTAAAATCTTATATAACAGGGTGGAGGGAGAGATTGATAGCAGAATCTTGTTTATTGAATCAACTGACAGAGAACACGTGTAATAGGAATGATTCAGCACATGTCCTAGATATCTGGAAGACGACAAATAGGAGAGAACAAAGAAAACTATAAAACTCAAGTTTCGAAGTCATGTGATTACAATTGATATGATTATGAACAGTAATAAATTGTGTTCAAAACTGTGTCATCCAGTGAATAATACTGTTTCACTCACTGTATGAACATCTAATAAACAAAGTAATATGAAATTACTTACTGCGACAGTCCCCAAGTTTTACACGAACAAAACTTATTCTTCGTAATCAATTCATCGATTATAATCACACGACTTCGAAACTTGAGTTTTGCAGTTTTCTCTGTTCTCTTCTATTTGTCGTCGTAGGGGTAGTAGATATCTGGGACAGGTGTTGAACGTTTCACTCGCTATGTTTGTTTTACGTATCGATGAATATGTCTGCCATAATACATCAGCCGCACCCGGAAAGTCTGGTGGAGGTATGTAGATGACACATTCACTGTACTTAGAACACAGGATATAGATAGATTTTTTGAAAACATAAATTCAAAGGTGGAGGCAATCCAATTCACTTATGAATTGGAATGTCAGGAAGGGGAGCTTCCAGTGTTAGATTGCAGCGTAAAAAGGAAAGAAGATGGGAAGTTAAACACACTAGTGTGTTTACAGAAAATTCCCCTGTACATTCAAACAAATATTTGGACTTCCGATCATCCCATCCTATCTCAGTGGAAATAGGATAGGTGTAATATTTAAGTTAGAGAGCACAAAAACTAAGTAGTACCAAGGAAAATTTAAGACAGGAAGTGAGGCTTAATAATTACCCTGATAAATTAGTCAGAAAGTATGTAGGGAAATGTAAAAATAAAATAAATAATGATAGTAGGGATGGTGATAATAATAATAATATTAATGACGACATGCATGTCAAATATGCGCAATAAAATGACAACACCAACAATGAGGAATCTAAATCATCACTAGCAATTCTATACAAAGGTGGAACCTCAGAAACCACCTTACTCAGAATTCTTAGCAAGGCAGGCAGGAATAAAAGTGGCTAGCATTCAAACCGCCCCACAAACTCAATTAGAAACAACCTTTGTCGGTTGAAGGATCCTGCCAGTGGAGCCAGTTGAACAAAACAGTTTAGTTTATCTAATACCCTCCCTGAAATGATTTTCAGGTCAAATGCATAGATGTATCGAAGTAGTAAAACAGGGGCAGTCAGACTAGCCAAGCATGAAAACCTAGCAGCTAAATCTAGATTAGTTGACCCAAATAAGATAAGATAACTGGAGAATAGTTCAGCTATGCCACTCACAACATGCAATTACACACAACCATACAATAGGCTGGATGGAATAAGATGACAGTTTTAAAATCTAATGTAACAGCAAGGTTGAGGGTTAATAACAGAAGCTTTGTTTGTCAAATCAACTACAAACCAACACGTGTAATAGGAATGATTCAACAACTGACCACATGGACATCTGGAAAATTCTACTACCCCAACGACGACAAATAGAAGAGAACAAAAAAAACTATAAAACTCAAGTTTCGAAGTCGCGTAATTATAATTGATGAAATGATTATGAACAGTAATAAATTGTGTTCGAAACTGTGTCATCCAGTAAATAGCAATACTGTTTCACTCCCTGTGTGATATATCTAATAAACAAACTAATATGTTACATCAGCTGATTGTAATAGGCAACAGTCAATTCTCAGACATCAACACTGTACCTGTACTTATTAGTTCATTTTCTCAGCCTGGTTGATGATTGTAAAGACACACTGATGCGACTAAGAGGTGGTTTCAAACAGGGTTGTTATCATAATTGTTCCCACAATTTCCAGATGGAACATAGGGCTCCATCAGATCGTACCCATCTTGTTCTGTTGCTTTCTGCCCTCTTCAGTTGGCCTCTAAATTTCCCATAGTCTCTCATCTCCTCCTATCCACACAGTGGTTAGGACTCTCGCCGACCATGCACATGGTCCGAGGTTCGATCCTCCGCCGACGCACACCTGATATCTATGGTCGGCCTGCAAAATTTGGGCTACCGATATCCATGCTGAAAATTCTATACTTGTACCAAAAATGCGGTGTGGAATCAAGCTGTAATCAAAAATAAAATAAATAAATAAAAAAAATAAAATAATCTTGTCCATGTCGCTCAACTCGTCGTTTCTTAAATATCTTTCACTTGAGGACCTGCATTGCGCACGATGTCAGTCAACGTTCTCCTCTGCGTGTAACCGATCCATCTCTATTTTCTCCTACATACTTGTTGAGTTATAAGCTCCTCATTGGCTTGTTCTTAGAGTTTGCTGATACTGTAACAACAGAAGACAAGGGCCAGGCAACAGATCGTTTTATTATGAAAATCAACACGTATTTATATATATTTCACATACATTATTATAGCTTATGCAAGTAGACAAGCGCAGTTATCTGATTGGTTGTTTATCAGAAGTTAGGCAGACAAACGCAGGCTTCTGATTGGTTGTTTCGGGATTCCTCGACAAATAGAGTTCTCTATCTGCGAATCATATTTTGCCACGTTAACTTTGCTTTGATTGGTTGTTGAATCAGCCTTGCTTATATTTTCTCACGGCCTGCTCTCACCACAATACTAATGCTTCCTAGTCAGCCAGTCAACTATTTGATCTTTAATATGTAACCAGCGTAGACAGCTTGTTGGAAATGTTTTCCATGACGCGTCAGTCACGTTTCTTACCCGTATAGAAGCACTAACTGACTGAATTCACATTTGTGCTGAAAATTTGAATCTTCTTCTTTATGCTGATTTAACAGCAGGAGATTTCCAAACTGGTTTCAAGTTGGTGAAGGTCTGTCTTGCCTTTGTGATTCTGACCAGCTTTGATATCTTCATCCGTGCTGTCCGACTGCCTGCAGTTGAAACAATACTGCCTAGCCAGATAAGTGAAAGAAGTAACCCCTTTCAAATCGCTCCTGTTGATGGAGATCGGTGCCGGTTATTGTTGTTGCTGCTGTTGCTGTTCTTTGGTTGGTTATCTTCATCGCCTACCGCCGTCTTCTCTATGTTCCCCTGCAGCAGCTATCTTCGATAGCTGCTTCTTCTTCCATTTCGTTGTTTTTCGCCTGCAAGTCATCGAGTTTGTGTCACATTAAACATAAATCATCCAACCGCGAATTCGAGATCTTCTATAATCTTCTTATCGTTCCAGTATTCTCCTATCTTCTCGTTGTCAATGTGTTTTTCTTTAATCAGGGTCTGTTACCAGTCATCTTATCTTCTTCTGTCACAGTAGTATTGTGGTGAGAGCAAGCTGGTAGCCAATTGGTAGGCATTAATTTACGTCAATGTCTAGGTCACTAATATTGGCAGTGGGAAAATATGAACAAGGCTGATTCAACAACCAATCACAGCAACCTTAAACGTGGGCAAATATGATTCGCAGATAGATGGCTCCACTTTCCGAGGAACTCGAAAACAACCAATCCGAAGACTGAGTTTGTCTACTTGAATAAGCTATAATAATGTACATGAAATATATATATATATAAATACGTGCTGATTTCCGTAATAAAGCGATCTGTTGCCTGGCTCTTGTCTTCCGTTGTTACAGTAGCAGTAGTAGTATTCGTTCTAAATGGAAGATAAGGTTTCAGTAATAGCCAAACCCTCAATGTGCCCATGACTGTCATCTTGTTGACAGAAGCAGACTATAGTTGACTGTCAAATAAAAAGTCTGGAGAGTCAACATCCATTTCTATGTGATCTCGTTAATTTCTACTACTTTTACGCCATATCTTCTCGTTTCTTTAGCAATCTCATCAGTCTTCCCAGAATCGAACACGGTGCGGATATTCTATGCCCCTGTGCTTAAGTTTACTTTCGTTAAATAGGGACCATGTAGGTCAACAGACGTCTCGAAATATTTCACCAGTATGCATCAACATCCTCTACGTTTCCAGGGAAGGAGAATTTCATCTCTGTAGTACTTTCAGTAGCTATAAATTTGGTTTGCTAGTCAAACGTTCACCGTTCGCCTTTTTCGTGCTTAGGGCCGGCTGGGACACTAGACAAAGTTTTGAAGTGTATTTAATAAGCTCACTTTAAAGTCTTATGAGTTCGATTCAACGGATTATAGTTTCAATGTGGTTTCGAACAAAGTTGAAAGTTTAACTCAATCTTAACATTTCACTACTTGAAATCGCCTCGACAAACCTATGGTATACATGGGTTTCACAATCCAAAAGTGTTCAATAGTAGGTGTATGAAGCTATTCTGGCCACCATAAATCATGGAAAGGCAGCCCTTGGCACTGATTCACTACCTCGTGGATTAGACTTCAAACCGAAGGCTGGTGGGGAGGATATTTGCCTTCAGACCGGCGTTTTTGTCGTTCGAGGCCTCACTTTGTCAGTGGTGTACCCGCTCTGATTAAGCTTAGGAAGCTAAATTAGTTCGAATCGACCAAATTTTAGTTAAATACCTGGGCGAGTTCGTAACACCTTAAATCGAATTCTCAATTCGCTAGTTAATTTACGCACCAAGTTTGGCGTGAGAACAAATACTCAGTGATCAAATTGGCCGATACTTGGTGTATATATATATATATATAAGTATATACATACATCAAAAATGGACAAGAGTTAGAATCCATGAATCGTTAGACTCCATCCTAGTGACCGAATAGACAGCAAGTTTGCCTTATAACCTGGTGGTAATGGATTCAACCTTTGGTGCAGCCAGCAAGTGTTTACTGATAAAGAATCCAGATTAGGGATGAAACGACTATGGTTCCGTAGCTACGGGTAGTCATGGTGATAGCTGTAAGCGACAGCAGAGAACCGAGTAAAGTGAACATGTGCCACTGATGCTTTATATCCCACTTGTAATTCAAGCTACGGATAACTCCATTATCATCAGGACATGTCCACATTTCACCGGATATGTATTGTTTAAAATGTATGACACTAGTGGTAAAACCTGCTAACACATGTGTAATTTCGCAATGAGACCGTTTCGCGTCTTTCTCTAACCAGTCAAAAGTTTATCTCTTCTGAGTGGACGCTAACTTGTGTCATACACTTACGAGTTTGTTTCTCGCAAATGGAATTGTATGAGTTAAGTTTGGAATTTCGATCACCATGCTAGGTGGCTTTGCACCATGGTGCACTCAGAATTGTTGTTATTCGATGGTCGAAGGCAATCAACAAGAAGTCCCTCCATTTCTAGGTTTCAGAGGCTTGTTAGCGCTCAGTGGTCACAGCAGGGCGTATCTGCAGTCTTGAAGGAACCTATATCGTTTCTGTGGTCTGAACCTGGATCATCACTACCTAACACATAGCAACTACACTGCCTTGACAAGGTTTAGTTTATTCTCACACCCAGGATTAGACTAATGGCGTTAGTGAAATTAAACTATCCATTACAGTCCTACAGAAAGTCAATCATGAGCCCAAGTAGTTTGGTGTTTTTATGTCTCTGACTACAGTACTGGGTGATCAGAGTTTAAAAATCTTAGGAGAGATATGAGTTATATATATATGTCCAAACCAAGTTCACTTTCAATAGTTTGAAGAAATTTGGGCATTGGGTGGTATATGATATTCACTATAATTAAAGGTTTATTTTGTATTTTCCAATGAATGAATGAAAAACAAAACGATATTGCTGTTGCATTTACTGACATTTCGCTATTTAATGCTACTGCTAACACCTTTATCAAAGTAGTATTATTAAATCGGAATTTACAAAATCCACTCAGCTTATCTATATAACAACTTAATCATTGTCGTTCATCAGTATAGGGTCATTTTTACGTTGTCAAGTTGGTCAATTGGTAAAGATAACAAAACCAGGTGTAGATGACTGTTGGATTTGATAAGTGTGTAAAATTATGAAAGTAGTGTGTGTTTACATAGTGAACTTGCTTATCACATTTCTGTTGATTTTGTCACTTCATGCGGGAGCGGTGAAACCAGGTCAAATTCTATTTTAGTCCATCATTCATGTTCAGAAAATTTGGATTCCACTTGATGATATGAAGTGCTCCTGATGATATTAGACGTTCTTTGTGATTCCTGAAATGCTTTTTCTGGATGATAATTTCAGTATTGTCAAAATCAATTTTGTGACCTGATTCTATTGCGTGTAGACAAGCTATGGTTGGTGATTTTTCAAGTATTTTTCTATTTCAACCGGATTTCTCAAGATGTTTGTCTGATGTATATCGCATCACATTCCAAGCAAGCATTTTATTTTACTGACACAACTCGATAGAGAATCTTTAGGGATTTGGTATTTTATATGGACAAGGTTGTTTCCCAATGTGTGTCTGATATTTTGAAGAAAAGTCCAATGTCGAGCTGATTGAGTACTCTTCTGATAGCGTCTGACGTCTCTGCTCTATATGGAATGACTGTCAACTGTTGAGGTCCATGTTTTCGGAATACGTTTTCGACCATACTTAATATCTGTGTTGATTTTATTGATGAAGTTCCTTGGGTAGTAGTTGTTTTGCTTGAGAGTCTCAGTAATGTTTGATATTTCTTCTTCAGTTTTCTTGCTCATCCGTTAACATCAAAGTTCAAGGTTACTCACCAGGAGAGATGACTAATAAACTCATGGATAAATCTAAAAGCTCAGTTCAATTCAAACTGAAGGATGCACTGAAGATGTTGCCTGGTAAGCAGGGTAATGAAAGCTTCGCAAATAAATCATCCAGGTAGGTCAGAAAAGACAACTACATCAAAATCATCCACCTGAGCTACAAATCTCCTCCACCTTAAACATAAATTTCTCCTAAAATAGAATAAAATTAATATATTTAATTTGGAAGCACTGCTTTCAAGGGATTCGAATGACCTGAAAATTCATCCGGTACTGAGAAATCAGTCCATTGAAAAGCCTGGAGGAGTGTTGAATAGGTGTTTCATTCCAGGACTAATCTATAACTCCACTACCAAAGGTTGAGACTAAGACTATCAGGTTACTAGCCAAACTCATTGACTATTTAAACATAACTTAGGATAGAATCAAGTGGCCTATAAATTCCAACAGCTACCAATCCATGATTTGTACAACCTGCAACCATTAGGCAATATTTAAAAAGAATATTATTTTTATTGGGCACTAGTAACTTGTGTGACGTGTCTAGTTCTTTCAATTGGTGGAGACTGAATTCTATCAGTTAGCCAGGTTTGCAATGTGGCCACCATGCCACTAGATAGCTCGCCATCATCGTGCACATTGATTTGATCATATTAGACGGTTGAAGGCAATCGGAATGATACTCAGCCTTAAATAGACCCAGGTTTCGTACTGGTTGAAACTCGTCAGCTTGCGAACCTGACTGATAGAATTTAGTCTGCACAAAAAAAAAGAAAGGACTAGACACATCACAATATTTACTAGCATCCAATCAAAATACCCACTACAGTCTTACAGGAAGATAATCGCGATCCCCAATAGATCGGTGGTAACGCCTCTGACTGCAGTACTCACTGGGGGGACGCGGCGGGTTCGAATCTCAGACGGGGGACATGAGTTCCTTCAAGCTGGTTGCTGAAACGTCCTGCTGATTGGTGAGTGCTAACAAGCATGAAACTTAGGTCTGGGGGTTGGGCTTCCTGTAGCCGATCGCCTTCAACTATGTAATAACATCAAAGAATATTTTTCATTTTATCAAGTTATTATTTTCCACTTTTCTTCTGTTTCTTTTTCTGTTTGTGTAGAAATTTTTTGATTATAAAAATGAAACAGGTAATGAAATTTTATCATTTGATTTCGCCTGGTCACCATCATTAATTCAACAACGTCTCTACAATGAAACTCTGGATTGGCTTGCACCAAAACCAGAATTTTTAGAAAAACAACGTCAAGCTGTTGCAGCATTCCGCGTAAGATGACTATTACCATTATTATTATCGCCATTTTGTACAGTATATATGTGTGTATATATTTATTATTATTGTTTTCTTTAATTCCTAGAGGAACATAGGGCTTCAGCTGCGCGTCTCCATTGCGTTCAGTTCTCTGCCACATTTTTCCCCCGACTCCACGTCTGCCCACATGGTTTCATCTGCTCTTCACATCACCTCCTCCACCAAGTCACCCTCTCACTGACGACCAACTCGCCGCCTCTCATTCTGCTCCCCCTCGAGCGATGGCCAGGCGTGTGATGTCACTCACTTGATGGTTTGTTTTCTCAGAATATGGCCTGCCAATCCACCTCCAATTCCTCCTGCTTATTTGTTGCACAATCAGTTTCTGCTGGGTTAGTTCGTTCATCATTACCAGAAGCCTCTGTTGCTGATGGTTTCTGACGGCCATCTGATCTTGAGTAGTAATGAGCGAAGAGAGCTGTTGATGGAGGTCCGTAGTTTATTTGAGGTGTTCTTTATGGCCCGCCAAGTCTCTGATCCACACTGACTTCACATTGGAGTAGAAAATCCGGATCTCATCTTTCATGTCAAGTGCTGAGTGTTGATCTTCACACAGACTAGAGAGTAATGAAAGATCGCCTCGCCTTCCCAATCACTGATTTGATATCCTCATCACTTCCGTCCGCCAGTAGTTGAAATGATGCTTCCCAGGTAGGTGGGTAGGTAGGTGAAGGAGGTTGCTTCTTTCAGATTTCTCCTACTTATGCTGGTTGTTGTCTGTTGTCACCGTTGTTGATATTGACCAGGAATCTTCATCACCTCTCTCTCCATATTCTCTATGTTCACCTGAATTCCTATCCTCTCTGGATGCTTCTTCCGCCAACTTGTTGCTTTCCATCACTTGCATATCTTCTAGTTTGTGGGAAATCAGACATATATCATCGGCAAAGTCCAGATCCTCCAAGTATGTTTTTGTATGGTTTTATTCTGTATCGGTCTCTTTGTTGTTCCTTGTGTGTCTGTCGTATTATTCAGTCTACCACGATCAAGGAAATCATTGGAGATAGTAGGTAGCCAGTCAGCCTTGTCATACTCCCGTCTTCACTTGTTGGGGAGGATTCCATGAGTTTCAATTGTGGATTACTTGACATGCAGCATTGTCGTACAACTTTTGGATAAGATGTGTAATTGTTGGCAGCACCTCGTAGTAGCTAAGTAGTTGCCAGATCACCTCTCAATCGACGCTGCGCTATCGAAAGTCAATGAAGTTAAGTGAGGTGGAGAGCTGACTGCCATTTCAAACTCTGTTCAATGATGATCCGTAGTGTTGCGATTTGATCGACGTGAACATTGACGTAAATTGTTGTTTACAATTTTGGCTTGCAGACAGATCTCACCACAACCCCGCTGGTTATAACTACTCAGTAAGGCTTCAAGATTTTTAAAGAAAAGCCGTCAAAGTCATTAAATTCCTCTCCAAGTAACAGAATGGTCAACAGGCTTGGTCTGGTAACCTGAAGGTCCAAGGTTCAAATCCTGACGGGTATGCGATACCAAAATGTCGTGTAGAAGGATGAAACGGCTTTCGAGTAGTGCCCTCTGTTTTTCAATCATATCTTTAGGTGATGTTGATTTGTGACGAAATCCTTAGAAAACGTTCATTATCTGAATGTGATCACGTACAAAAGCTGGACTCTTGAAGCATCTTAATCCAGTAAAAAAAATACTTTTCCACTCTGTGTGTGTGTGTATTTGTGTGCGATATACCCATCAAATAAGCAAATCCCTATGTGGGATTACGTAGCACCTTAGTGATTCAGTGGTAATCGGTGATCGTAATCATTACAATGATAGCCTACTAAGCATGTGGATCGGGATTCGATTCCCAGCCGGTGCACAACTTTACTTCCATTGTGGTGAGAGCTGTCTGCCAGCAAAAATTGGTAGACAGCAATTTACGTCAATGTTTACGTCCCATATCTTGGTCATGAGAAAAGAACAAGGAGAAGGACTAACTCATCAACCAATCACAGAAGACTTAACGCGTGCAAATGCGATTCGAAGATATGTTGTCTGACCTTCAAAGAAATGAACACAAAGATATGTGTCCTACAAGGTTTACTGAATGTAACATCAAGAAAGAATCCGCCCCTAGACATATCACAGTATCAATGAAAAAACTGTTTATGAGTCTGGCATTCTAAGGTGACACCATTTCGGAATTGATTAAAAATCGTTTATCTAAATGTATTAAACGCACTTTTCCTGCAGCTGACTTGCATCTAGTTTTTACCAGCCAAAATATGATTAGACAATGCGTCAATGATAGATAACCGCTTTTTCCCACATCTATGTGCATTTGCTCATTTACTTGCTCTTGTGGAGCTGATTATATTGGACATTGTAAGCGTTATCTCCAAAAACGTGTAGCTGAACACTATCCGGTTTGGTTAATGAAAGGCAAACGAAGAACTGCGAAATCATCTATTTGTGATCACCTGTTAGAGTCCGGTCATTTAGCCCCATGTGATTCATCTTTCAAAGTTATCTATACGACAAAATCGAATCGATCCAAAAGTTTACGTTTTCTTCACTTATGCATAGCTAGCCGAAGCTTTAGCTATACATGGACAGAAACCTAAATTATGTGTTCAAAAACGTTTTGTCAAACCCCTTTCTTTACCTCGGTCAAAGTAATATTCTTTCTAGTTTTTATTTTATTTTACCACTTGAATTCATTCCACTTCACATCTTCATTCTTATCGTAATCGTACTACTAATGTGTAAAATTCTTAGAGAACGCTTGACATTTTTCTTTAAAAAAAATATTTTCGTTATCAATTCACTTATAATACAATCGTTAATAATATACAATTGGTGGATGGTGGCTAGCAGTGGAATCCAGGATGCGCATTTCGTCCTATTTGGGACTCGTCAGCTGGATGTACCTGCATTTCTCAGTGAGTGATGACGTTCCCACCGAAGCTCGAACCCAGTACCCATAGTTTCAAACGCCAAAGCGTTATCCACCAGACCACTTGGGCCACGAGAGTCACCTCTTGTGCAACGGGTCATATTAATTATTGAATTGAATTTTTGATTTTCCCGTCGATTGTTTGGACCGAAGTGCTCGGTCTCAGGTTGACATGTCGGCTTCTTGTGCAGATGCTTCGACGATGTCTGGGCAATTGTATACTAATCAAATGCCCAGACATCGTCGAAGCATCTGCACAAGAAGCCGACATGTCAACCTGAGACCGAGCACTTCGGTCCAAACAATCGACGGGAAAATCAAAATTCAATTCAATAATCTTTAATAATTTTGTAATTTATCCACTTCAACTCTCCCTCTTATAACATTTAATTGTCGTTATTCTTATCACATATATATGTATATTGACTGAGTAATTAATTATTTAGTGCCACTTAATAACCTTTTTCTGTAATATAAATACGACGGTATAGCTTGAAAGTGAACTCGTTGAAAAGAAATTTCTTCGCTGAACAAAGAAAACTGTGTTTTTTACTAATGAACAAAGAGAGATGACAGAATAACCTTCAGCAAGAAAACAACCAATCAGAAGACGCTGCTTCTCTGCTAACCATAACGCTAATAATAACAATATACACAAAAATATTTATAAATATCTGTTGGTTTCGTTAATAAACGATCTGTTTCCTTGTCGTCTGTCGTTGTACCCTTAGCCGGTTGGAAACCCGACAAAGAGGGAAGGTTGAGTGGATGTCAGGTCTGCAACCCCACTCTGTAAAAAAGCACCAGTGCTACTGAAAATTCATGACTCAAGTTTAGAGTCCTATGTCCCAATGACAAAGTGCGTCACACATATATGCTAAATTTATTCTCTCTTTTTATTCCTGTTTTCTCATTTGCTTTCAGAGAATGACACAAATCACCTTTTCATCGAATGAATTGGCTTTAATTATCATCTTATCTATACCGATAGCAATATTCGGTGGAACATTATTTATGGTGATAATATTCGGTTTGAGTAGACGAATTAAATGTCCAATTGACAATCAAATGGATACAATAAAAGAAAAGCTGTCTGATAAAAAACCATTATTGATTATTGAACAAATTGCGCATAAATTATTTTGTGCAGTTATTAAATTCCCTTTATTGGTAATCATTTTTCTGTGTGTTTATTAGTATAATTGTTATTCTTTGATGTGTATGATTATTGCTAGTTGCAGTGAAGTGAAGTGGTCAACATCGTAGTTCGCGTTGACGACTTCACTTATTTGGGAAGTTGCATCAGCCAACCCCTCAAAGGATTGATCGCTGACAAAATCTCAGCACGGATATAGAGGGCTAGTTTCGCATATACCAGTTTATGCTATTTCTGGCTTAGTAGATATGATATCCTGCTGACTATCGACCAAAGGGCTGGTGTACTGTTCAGCAGTCAGCTACGTCCTCCTTTGGGGCTATGAAACGCGGAAGGCTGGCTGGCTGTATTTGATCATAGGTGCCTACGTTCTATCTGCGTGTGAAGTGTTATTATAGGGTGAGCAATATTGAGGTTAGGCATCGGTGGAGTGGTAGGTGAGCTGGAGAGGAAATCAATCGACGAGGCTGTGAAGGTACACTGATTAAGATGATTAGGACACGTGTTACTTGTGCATCCCTAGTCATCGCCTTCGTCCACAGGCAATGTTAGCTGACTGACATAGGATGCACCAGGCTGGAAAAGAGTTAGCACATGGTGGTCAAACCAAAACTTGCCTTCATCAATCAATGAAATCCACAACAGTCAGTTTAAGCTAGCCAGGCAGGGAGGTGTAGACTTCCTGACTGTTTCGGGTCCTCGGAGCTGTCAAAACCAATGAAGGCTAAAGAAAGAAATGTTGATATGGTTTAAAATCGTCCTCGATGGCTGGCGCAGATGCATCTACTCCTTGTGACTTATAATATCCAATAAAACTCTATGGTTTCTGCATATTACTATTCTTTTTACCTGATATCTCTGTTCACTGTCTCTATTTTGCATTTCTTTTTACTTTCTTCTTTTGTTTTGGCTTTTGTGTGCTCAGTGAAGTGTGGCGACTCGAAACGCCGCACATCTGTGCAAAGTTCTACGTTGAAATCAGTCAGTCAGACAGACATAATGTTCTTTATTAATATTTACTGATAACATTTAAAGAACAATTTATCACTGCTAATAAGTACATCAAGGTACTCACACAACTTTCTTGCTCCATTTATACATATACATGAGTAAAAATTGATTAGACATTTGAATAAAATCAATTTAAAACTTGAGTGAAACAGAATGGAAGATAAAGTACATTCGGAGAGAATATGAGTGTTATCAATAAAATACAACAGGATGGGAAATAAGACAAGCGTTGTTAGTCAATAAGCTGGGAAACTGAGATATTTTAATAATCAAAATAATTAACTTGTTAGAATGTTATAATGTATGTTAATTGAGATAGATTTTTAAGATTATTTATTATCCTCCTCTGATTGGCAATAATATCTTTCGTATCTCTGGTATTTGCATTGAGTCATTTCTGTTACACGTGTTGAGTGTAGACTCAATGAACCAGACAGAATTCAGTAATCAACCTCTCTCTCCACCCACCTAGATTACTTCTTAGAATTTTAAGCCTCTCGCACCCCAATTGTGTGGTTGTGTGTGCATGCAGTGCAATTTCCAAGCTTTTTTTCTAAATTACTTATCTTCTTGGGTGGAGTTAACCATTCTTACCTTAGCTAAATCCTTATGTTACGACAATCTTACTACTCCTGATCTACTAGTTTGACCTATGTGTAGTTGACCTAACTCACAGTCATTGCAGGGTATTTTGTAAATTATATTATTTTGTTTAATTGGGTCAACTGGATCTTTTAACCTACAGAGCTTGTCCTACCTGGGTGAGTTTTTAGGTTTTAGTGCCACCCTAATTCCTGCTTTATTAAGAATCCTACGTAGGGTCTCAGATGTCCCCTCCTTATATGGTATAACAGTGGATGACTTATATTCTCTCTTATTTATGTTATTATTACTAGTTTCACAATTATTTTTATTTTGCTTTTGGCCTTTTTTGATGTTCGTGATGTATTTTATAGGATAGTTATTTAATAAACAAATAACTTTTTCGTTATGTGTGGTAAATAAAAATAAAAATAATGGTGAAACTTCTGGTGATAACATTAATAAGATAGAATATAAAACGTCTACAGTATTACTGAATCCTGGTTCATCAAATCTGCACCCAACACATGCAATAGGAATGATCCGTAACTCATACAGGAAATATGGAAAATACCACTGTAACAACAGAAGACAAGGGCCAGGCAACAGATCGTTTTATTATGAAAATCAACACGTATTTATACATATTTCAACTACATTATTATAGACAAGCGCAGTCATCTGATTGGTTGTTTATCAGAAGTTAGGTAGACAAACGCAGGCTTCTGATTGGTTGTTTCGGGATTCCTTGACAAATAGAGTTCTCTATCTGCGAATCATATTTTGCCACGTTAACTTTGCTGTGATTGGTTGTTGACTCAGCCTTGTTCATATTTTCTCACGGCCCATATTAGTGACCTAGACCTTAACGTAGATTAGTGCCAACCAATCGGCTAGCAGCCTGCTCTCACCACACCACTACTACCAATCAAATCAAGAGACGGAGAATAATGGAATTGCATACACGCAGTTAGAAAGTTGTGTGAATACCTTGATATGATTATGAGTGGCAATAAATTGTGCTCTAAGCGTGTGGTCATCAGTTAGTATTACTGTATAACAACATTGTGTTATTTATCAAAATAAAATCTAATCTGTAATGGAATTATACTCTATCACAGTGCCCAAGTTTTATCCTGAATGATAGTCGTTTCAGATAACACATTATTATTTTGCCAACATTAAATTTTTTTATTTTTGATTTACAGCTTGATTCCACACCGTATTTTTGGTACAAGTATGGAATTTTCAGCATGGATATCGGTAGCCCAAATTCTGCAGGCCGACCATAGATATTAGGTGTGCGCGTCGGCAGGGGATCGAACCTCGGACCATGTGCATGGTCGGCGAGAGTCTTAACCACTGTGCCACTGACGCAGTGGCACCTTTAGATTAAGAAGGACTGTACTATCGTCCTTGACTAATTTAAGTCATTCTGATGACAAGCTTGTAATCTCCAAAACATCTGGCATTGATCTATGCGTTACCATTTCGTTCCTGAAAGTTATTTCTTCACATCTTTGGCTTTGACTGATCTGTGATTTTGTTGTCGATGGCTAGCAGTGGAGTCCACGAAATGGGCTTCATCCTATTTGAGATTCGTTAGCTGGATATACCTGAATCCCCACCTGAGTGATAGTGTTACCAATGGCGACTGAATTCAGCACTCATCGTTTCAGACGCCAGAGTTCTATCCTCTAGGTCAACTAATAACATATCATACCAGATACATAGATCTCATAACCAAAAAGAATGATTAACAAGGAACGCTAACAATTAACCAACCCAGAACCTATTGCCAAAAAAATTTGCATAAAAAATCGAATTGGCAGAAGTTAGAATTCATGCACTGGCTGACCATTGGATCGGATCTCAGTGGCTGATGAATGGTCTACGAGCTCGCTAGCTTTTTAACCAGAAGGTCCTAGGTTCAAACCCTGGTGGTGAATGCGTGCTGACGAAGAGTCCCAGACTAGGACGGAGGAAACAGCTATCTGACAACACTCCCAGCTGATTTTGCAATGGTTCTCTAACTGATGTCAGCTGTTGATGAAATCCTCCAAACAAACAAGTGCAAATAGATTGAATATAAGCTGAGGATACCGTTATGTGATTTTACGTGATCGGTAGGTCCTCGAGTGGAATCCGAATAAGAATCGACGGGTTGGGTCTTATGCCTGATGATGACATGGAGAAGATTATGTGAAGAGAAGATGGAAGCGATTGTGCGATTGTAGACTTAGTTAGAAAGGAAATGTCCAGTGAGAAGTCCTATGTTTTACTGAGAACCCAAGGGAATAACATTAATAATAATACTTGGTGCACAACATGTGGTTCCCATGGCCGAGTGGATAACGCATTAGCATTTCAACTGATGTGTGATAATTTTAAATTCCAGTGTGTGAAATTACATCCCACTGTTGCGTATTAAATTAGACGAAATGCAGTTCCTGAATTCCACGCCTAGCCGCAGCTGGTATGTTAACAGGTGTCAAGCATTTCAATCCACTAGAATTAGTTAATATATTAATCTTCACATATATTTCAACAGTCCAAAGGAATAAAACGTCTCTTCATTGTTCAGACCAATTAATTCTTATTGGTTAGTAGTATTTTTGTGGTGAGAGCAGGCTGCTAGCCAATTGGTAGACATTAATCGACGCTGATTGGTAGACATTAATCTAGGCTGGTTCAACAACCAATCACAGCAGACTTAAACGTGGGCAAATATGATTCTCAGATAAATGGCTCTACTTTCCGAGAAATATCGAAAACAACCAATCAGAAGACTGTGTTTGTCTGCTTAATTTCAGAGAAACAACCAATTAGAATACTGCCTTTTTCTGCTTGCATTAGCCTTATTAATGTACATAAAATATATATTAATGCGTGTTTATTTTCGTAATAAAACGATCTGTTGCCTGGCCCTTGTCTTCTGTTGTTACATTTTAACAGCAGAAGACAAGGGCTAGGCAACAGATCATTTAAATTAAGGAAACCAAGAGATGTGTGTAGATTTTTATGTGCCTTATTATTAGCATTATTTTTAACAGAGAAGCAACCTCTTCTGATTGGTTATTTTCTTGCTCAAAATGATTCTGTACTGCTAGTGACCGTTTCTTAGAAAGTTAAGCCATACATCTGCCAATCATATTTGCACACGCTAAGTCTGCTGTTGATTTCCCACAAACTGGAAGATATATGCAACTGATGAAAAGCTACAAGTTGGCAGAAGAAGCATCAAAGATAGTAAGGACTTCAGGTGAACATAAAGATAACAGAGGTAAATGATGAAGATTCCTGGCCAACACCAACAGCGACAACAACAACAACAGAAAACAATCACCATAAATGGGAGGAACCTGAAAATAACAACCTCCTCTATCTACCTGGGAAGTATCCTTTCAACTACTGGTGGACGGAACTGATGAGCATATCAAAGCGGAAAGATCGGGAAAGCAAGACCAGCTTTCATTACTCTCAAATCTGTGTGAAGTCAACACTCAGCATGAAAAATTGAGGTCCGGATTTTCAACTTCAATGTGAAGTCAGTCAGTGCTACTTATCATACGGATCAGAGACTTGGCGCGTCACGAAGGCCACTTCAAGCAAACTGCAGAACTTCATCAACAGCTAACTGTCTTCGCTCAATACTGCTAAGGACCAGATGGCCAGAGAAGATTAGCAACAGGGATCTCTGGGATCGAACCAATCCAGTAGGAACCAATTGGGCAACAAATAGGCAGGAGTAAATGGAGATTGAATGGCCATACTCTGAGAAAACAAACCATGAAGTTACATCACTACAAAACCTCGAGTGGAACCCGAAAGGGAAGCAGTGAGTTGGTCGTCAATGTGAAGGTGACTTGGAGGAGATCATGTAAAGAAGAGGTGAAAGCGTGTGGGCAGACTTCGAGAGGGGTGAAAACGTTGGCAGAGAACCGAACGCAATGGAGACTTGGGCGGCTGAAGCCCTATGTTTCTCTAGGAATTAAAGGAAATAATAATAAAACAATAAGTCTGCTGTGATTAGTTGGTGAGTTCCTCAAGGTTAAGCTTTGTTATTGTTTGTTTTTTTCATGACCCAGATTCGGAACGTAACACTGACGTAACTTGTTGCCAACAATTTTGGCTAACAGACAGCTTTCACCACATTATTATTGATTGATGTACTGCGGTAGTATTTATCTATGCATTCATGCTATTTATACCTCTTTTTGTGTATTTCTTTATTCTTCAACACCCCTTCCTGTACCTAACACAGGTTTCTTCGCTGATGTCTAGATTAATTTCACGTATCATTGAAGAACTTGGTGATTTACCGTATAAAATCAAACATAGCCAATTGTTTAAATCTTTTCAACAAAATCTTAAATCCCTTCAAGTAGCTGTCTCGAAACAAGTCTATCATCGACCAACATTTATTCTCACAGATAATTTTAATCATTTAGTTCACACTCTAACTGATATCATGATCAATCGCATCACAGAGACAGCTTTGAATGATTTAAATTATCAGCGTAAACAAAGATTGAGCATTGAACACAAATTAAAACAGCATATTGAAGCGTATAATCAAGCTAAGCAAAAGGCTGACAGTGCACAAACTGCTTTAAAAACGCTGGAAAGTGAATATCAACTGGCTAGTAAACAATTTAATCGACAAATCAATGATGAAACAGTTAGCAAAAAGGAATTACCCTCAATTATAACGGACTATGAACAGAAACTCGCGAAAGCGTCGAATTTAATTGAAACTACCCAACAGGAAGTTAGTCAAAAGCGTAGAGAGTTAGCCCAGGCTGAAATGAAACTCTTGTCGGAATCACCAATATCAGAAAGTGCTGAGCATTTGATATTCAATGAAGATGAGAAGTCAATCTACTATGCAGCACCAGAACTGAGGGCTTACCTTCGTCTACCACGCCATTACAATGATGCTTTTTTCTTATTACATCCAAAATCGAAGATAAATGAAATGAAAAGAAGGTCAAGACATGAGGCACCACCACGTCCTTGACACTGTTTATTGATTGATCCTGATAGTGATTTCGTTGTTTATTATTTACTGTTATGTGTTTTGTTACGAAGAGTCTCATGATTTGTAATATATATATAAATATATAATTCTTTGAATGCTAGCAGAACCTTTTGAATTTGGAAAGTCAGGAACGAGGGGGAGCTTCCAATGTTAGATTGCAATGTAAAAAAGAAAGAAAATGGGAAGTTAAACACATTAGTGTGTTTACTCGAAACCCACTGACACATTCAAACAGACATATTTGGATACCATCCTAGGTCAGTAAAAGTAGGATTGGTGAAATGCTTAACTGATAGAGCATAAAAACTAGGTACTACCAAGGAAAATCTAAGACAGGAAGTGATACTTATAATAGAGGCTATGAAACTTAATAATTACTCCGACATATTAGTCAGAAAGTATACAGGGAAATGTCAAAATAAAATAAATAATGATAGTAGTAATAGTGCTAATAATAATATTAATGACGACAAGTATGTCGAACATGCGCAAGACAACACCAACAATAAGGAATCAAAATCATCAGTAGTAATTCCATACAAGGAAAGAACTTCGGAAATCACCTTACGCAGAATTCCTAACAAGTTGGGAACAAGAGTGAATGGCATTCAGTCACCCACAAACCCAATTAGAAACATGCTTTATCGGTTGAAGGATCCTGGGGAGTTAATTAAACAAAACGATTTAGTTTATCTAATACCCTGCCTGCAGTGATTGCCAGGTCAAATACATAGGTCAAACTAGTAGAACAGGCTCAGTCAGTTATACTAGCTGAACATAAAACCCAGCTAAATCTAGATTGGTTGACCCGAATAAGATAAGAAATCTAGAGAATAGTTCAGCTATAGCACTCACTAGATGCAATTACACACAACTATACAAGAGACTCGAATAAGATCACAGTTTTAAAGTCTAATGTAACAGCAGGGTGGAGCAAGAAATTAATAACAGAAACTTTGTTTTCCGAATCAACTGCAAATACATGTAATAGAAATGATTCAACACCTATCCACTTGGACAAATAGGAGAAAACAAAGACAACTATAAAACTCAAGTTTTTAAGTCGTGTGATTATAATTGATGGAATGATTATGAACAGCAATAAATTGTGTTCGAAACCTTGTCATCCACTAAATAATAATACTGTTCCACTCAGTGTGATATACCCATCTAATAAACAAACTAATATGGAAAGACCGCACACTTGTTAGATGGTTGAGGGGTAGTCACCAGGAAGCCTTGGAATTAGGTTTCGTGCTTGCCGACACTCATCAGTCAGTAAAGCGTATTTACAATCTTCAAGAGAATCAACTCCCTTCTGAAATTCAAACCCAGGTAGCCCAGTGTGACAGTCAGTGAAGAGACGTTTTTCCATTGAGCTATTTGGCGCGGCAGTTGACTTTCTGTAGACATGTATTGGATGCTTCGATTGAAAATGATGTAGTGACTTATGTCATACATTTAGTTTTTTGTGTGTTAGTGACAGATTGAATTCACTGCACTATATGTGAGATGGGATTGAATTGAAGAGATTTGGAGATGACAGATAGGCACTGCTAATGAGTTTCAGCAAGCGTCAAAACAAGGTAGCCCATTAAGGCTTCTTGGTGATGGCTTCCAACCATCGAACATCATTTTCAGGGTAGACAATGATGGTGAACCACCTAGCATAGTGGTCACGTTGCAAAATTGATAGACAGAATTCAGTCTGCAGCAAACAAAGAATGAAATGTATGGAATTAGATGCTACCTAGTTTCCGATCAAAGAAAGATGCATACTTACAAATCCATAAGAAAAAACAAAATAACTGCCCAAAGAATATCCTTTTCGATGATTTCCTTTTCTGGCTCTACAATTATATACGTATATGTTTATATACATAGAATATTCTAGATTAGTAGTCAATAACAAAAGTAAAACAAATCACAGTGGAAAAAAAGCCAGTCTACCTTCAGCTTGATTATAAAGGTGAAAATATTGCAGCGATGATCAACAGAAGGCTGAGTACATCACTAGCCATAGCGTATCCGGCAGCTAAGCTCGTTCCCGTCTATCGAACAACTTGCTCTTTGGTGCAATCAAAAATCGATAGATATCCTTCTCATGTTACCTCCAACTGTGTGTATACAAATTTACATGTATCTGCGGGAGCAGTTACATTGGAAGGACAGAAAGAAGGGCATATCTACGATTTTCTGAACATGTACCAAAAAGCTTACGTCTAAAGGGAACAAATGCTTTAAACAGTGCCATCACCAGGCATCTTCTCGACACGGGTCATGAGGTGGACGTTGAAAAGTCGTTCAAAATTATCAATAAGCAAAATAGCTCAATTCTCCTTAAGTTTGCTGAAGCCATTTCCATCAAGCGCCTGAAACCCGATTTATGCATCCAAAAAGAAGCGGTTATCAGCCTTTCTTTGCCCTGGTAACTGGATAATTTCACCTCTCTTTCCTCCGAATGTGAAATGCTAAAAGTTTCCATTGTGTTTGATGATTATTGTTCGGAATATTGGTTAATATTGCATATTTATATATGTATATTTTTAGTGTATGAGTATATTGATCGATTGATTTTTGTTTAAACTTAACTCTGTGCAAGTATGTTAAAATTGTTGTTGTAGATATATTTAATAATGTCTTTGCCATGTAAGCAGCTGACGAGAAGGCAACGAAATAAACAATGATGGTACCATTTTATTCTACTAAAACTGTAGTTCTTGCCTTGTTCAAAAACAATATTAGTGTTTCTTTTTAAATAATATCGATTTGTAAAGTAAGATCACAATGGAATTACCACAGTTCATTAAAGATGCTTAAATAATAATAAAAATATAATAGCAAATAGAATATCAAATAAATTTAGGAAATTTCTACAAAAAATTGAAGATCATTTGAACGTAGATGGCCAAGTTAAAGATAATCACTGAACTAGCTTCTTTTGGATGCACAAATTGGGTTTCTTAATATGGATCCCAACAATCAGCCTCAGCAATATTTAATAATAATATTAGTAATATTAACAGCTTTATTCCAAACGGTATTTGTGGTATAGGTATGGAATTTTCAGCGTGCATTACAGTATATTGCATCTAATTACCTCATAAATTATATAAGATTTTTAAAATCAAAGATAAATAAAATAAAAAATAAAATAAATAATAAATAAATAAATAAATAAAAATAAAAAAAACAGCGTAGAGTTTACATTTCAAACAATGCAACACAGGATTTGAAATATAAAGTTGGTGTGTAATAGAAGATGAGAACAACAGTGTAATAGTAACGAGGAAAGGAAAACAAAAACTAATGGGACTATTTGTTAGAGTGCCGCAGTAAGTTTATCGTGTCATACCTAACGGATTTCTCATCACATAACAGCTGTGCCAGATATGGTATTGTGGAGTTTTTGTATTTGGTAGTCCTAGCATATAGCCTCCTATAGCTGCTTCTAGTTCTACCAGATGAAATGCAAGGAGATAGATGCGTATAGAGAGGATGCTCGGGGTCCGACAATATTGTATTCGCTAGTTTCTTACATGACATTATATGTCTATCTACAATAGTGTTCACCAGTTGGTTTAACGATATCCCACTTGCCCTACTAACAGCTTTTAGTGCCCTTCTCAGCGAAGCAAAGTCTTTCTTAAGTAGTCCAGGAAAGACTAATGGGGAGCAGTAAAGGAGGATGGGTAGAATACAAGAATTTACAAACTGAGAAAGTAAAGACTGCTTTATGCCAGACTGCCTAAATTTCCTAATGTAGAACGTTAAGCGAAACATCTTTCTAGTAACTAGCAAGATGTGGGAAGACCAGGAAAGATCGGTGGAAAAACTCAGCCCAAGGTACTTGACATCAGATGTATTTTCAACCTCTGTGCCGTCAATGAGAGTGGGGCCATGTGAGCTAACTAGTTGCTGTAGGTCACATTTACGTCTGAAAGTGAAATTGACTACCTGACATTTAGACGGATTAAGCTTAAGTCCGTTTGAAGAGGACCACTGACTAATTTCCGACAGAAAGCTATTTAATTTGGAACAATCTGACTGAGAGTTGACAGGCATAGAAACCGAGAGGTCATCGGCATACTTAACAAAAGTGGCTACATCAGAATGAGGCAAGTCATGTAAGAAAAACGAAAACAGAAAGGGAGAAAGAACAGCACCTTGAGGAACACCAGCTAAAGTAAGTGAGGTAGTGGAGGATTTTCCATTGTAGACGGTGTACTGCTTCCTTTCAGAAAAATAGGAATGCAACCACTTATTTGTCCAGCTTTCAGCCTGTGTTGCAGCAAGCTTACTTAGCAAGAGAGACCTGGGAACAGAGTCAAATGCAGATGTGTAATCAAGGAAGGCACAGCGAACGTATTTAGCTCCTTTATCTAAACTAGAGACTATGCTATGGTGGAGGACGACAGCGGCATCTAACGTACTCCTACTATGTTTATAAGCAAACTGGTTGGGGTCGTTGAAAGGTTTTAAAGAGGGATCAAGATTAAGTAAAATAAGTCTTTCCATAACTTTCAAAAAGGTGAGGTAATTGAAATGGGTCTAAACTTAACATTAGGTCCACTTGTAGATTTAGGCACTGGAACGATCTTGATGTTTTTCCATGATTCAGGTATAATACTTTTGGAAAACGATTCGTTGAAAATGTCAGTTAGCGGGGAACACAAGATGTCGGCACACTTCTTAAGGATAACAGCAGGAACACCATCAGGACCGAGGGACTGAGTAGGCTTGAGAGATTGAAGACACTTGAGGACATCATTCGTGTTAAAGCATGAGAAGCAGTCATTGTTTACACTATTTGAGTTAGGAATCATAACATTTGCTGGGATACATATGAAGGATTCATTAAGCATGTTAACATCTACAGAAATATCATTCAACATTTGCTTACCACCTGTGATTTCCTTTAATAACTTCCACATATTTGATGGGGATTTACATGAAAGAAACTTCTGGTTATAGAGAGC